CAGAAGGTGCCCGAGCCCCACTGCACGCGGGTGGGGCGTGAGATCGAGCCCCGGCGCGGCTCGGGCCCTGCCCCTCCACTCTTCCCCGGAGCGGTCCCGAGTGACAGGAGGGGCACGCACGGCGCGCGCGGGGCGTCCCGCCTTAACCGCTTCGGCGCCGGGGTCCGGAGCCACGCGAGGGCTGGGGAGCCGGCGACAGCGGCGCTGGAACTCACCGGAATGTGCACGCGCAGCGAACGCCTCTTCTGGCTGGGGTTTTTCTTGCCGCCGCTCCCGCCGGGGCTGGAAACATCTTTCTTCTTCTTGGTGTCCATGGCCGCGCTTCCCATAACTCTGGCCCGAAGTTACTTCGGGGCGGTTCGTCCCTGGGATTCGATCCTCTCCTCCGCTCCGCCGGCCGCGGCTGTCGGACCGGGGCCGCGCGCCCTTTAGGGCGGCCCTTCCACCCCGAAGACACCTCGCGGGGACTTCCGCGGGGAGGGAGGGAGGGAGGGTGGAGCAGGTAACTCGCGCCGCCGCCACCCGGGAGCGGATGGCGGTCGGCGGTGAGCGCGGAGTCCGAGTGTCCCCTTTCGCCTACGGGATCATCGCGCGTGCAGGCTCCGTCAGAGCCGCTGCCGGTCCTGGTCTCTCCCCGGGTTACGCGTGGCCGAGGTCTCCGGCTGAGTGACAAAGTTTCCTTCCTTCTGCAAAGCGAAGCACCATTTTCCGCCCGACCGGCCCCTCCCCCGGATTCCCAGAGGCGATCTGAAAGGCAGGTGCAATTAAAAGGCGCAGTTTGGAAAGCAGCCCTCCTGCGCCCGTGCCCAAGCCGAGAACCTGCGAGCGTGAGGGAGGCTGTGCGTGCATGCACATACTCCTCGGCCGCAGAATACAGCAGCCCGGAGCCCGGAGCTAGGTCCGTCCTCCTTTCTGGGCGAGAGGGAGGGCAGGAGGGGGAAGAGGAGGTGCAAAGGCGAACACTCCTCGCAATTGGGCTAGGGCTCGGCTGTGGGCAGAAGTTCTGGCGGCGGCTGGCGCGGCCCTGCCGGCCGGAGGGGGCGCCCGGAGCCCCGCGGGGCGAAGAGGGCAGGGCGCCCGCGCTGTGCCCAGCGCCGCGCCACGATCCCGAGGGACCGTGGGGAGACAGCGAGGGGCCGGGCCCGGCCCCCACGCAGGCTCGGGGAGCGCGCGCCGGG